GGGAATTATTCTCAGCTCATACAAAATGCACACAAAGCACACGTCCCTGCTCTTACCATTTCCCACTTAATATTTATGAAAGCTGATTACAAAACAAATTTATCACTTAAGCCTTCAGCCAAGTTTTAAATTACTCAAATGTTTATGCTAAGTAGACAAGCAGCCTTCTGGAGTTTTGTCTTTCATAAGCTTCAATCTCATCCAAAGGCAGGTATGTGAGAGACCTATCTAACCCCAAAGATGACATACATTCAAGCCACAATCTGACCAGAAGGTTCTTCTGTTCTTAGGCAGTATGTACTTCAGATATTAGCCGCCGCTGCTGCTGTGTGGGCTTGTGGGTGCACCCCACGGCGCAGACACAGGATGGAGACACATCTAGGAGATGGGGGCTCTGGGGCACACAGGTGAGGCGCTGACCACATGGCCAGCTCTGGAAAGGGGAACAGGCTTCCTACAGTCGGAGGCGGGAGAGGCTTCGAATTAGATGATGAATTTCTCCTGCTTCCCAGCACCCTGAATATCCACCTCTGGCTCGTCTGCAAATGAAGATTAATTTACAATTTACATGCACGAGCTGGGTTTACTGCTCCAGCACACGGCCATCTCAGCTTGCTTACACTGGATAGAAACAGTGCTACAAATGTCCATGTCGCTCAGGGTCCCCTCAGGAAAAAGATGGCACATACAAACTGGGCAACTGAAGGATGATTTATACAGATTTGGACAGGGTACAGAGAGAGCGACAGGGAGGACAGTGAGTCACAGCCAGGAGCCCCAGGCTGGAGGAGTCAAGGGGAGGGGCTGGTTAGCAGAACCCAGAGAGAGCAGCTTTAGGGAAAGGTCCCTCATAGGAGAGCTGGTGTTTAGGAGGGGGACGCAGCCAACCCACGATTCCTTTGGCCTCGTGAGGCAGGTCACACAGATGAGCCTTCTGGGGAACACAGGCAGGCAGAGAAGGGTAGGGAACATGCCCGAGGGCAGACGGAAGATGCCCTGCAAGGTGTCCGACACCAACCTGGAGGACAGCTTCAACAACAACGAACAAACTAGCCCTCTGACACAGCCACACAACAGGAAACTGTGCCTTTCACAATTCAGGTCTGAATCCGGGTCTTATGGATGTTGCCATGGTTAGATAACCACAAAATGCAGTAGTTAGGTAAGACACACAGATTAGAAATCGGTAAATACACTAAGACCTCAAATTTGGATATAATGTTAATAGAGGTTAACCTGTAGAGAGATGTAGGTGATTTTCCCGTTCCTAATCTATATATTTTTAAAGTTGTATTGATGGACAGCTTTCCAGTTTACCTTCTATTATGCCCCTATTCTATTAGGCATCATCAAGATAACAAGGAGTGCTTTGATTTTTGACTGGTGAACAGAGAAAGTATCTACTGAAGCTTGGATTTCGATCTCCTCTTAGGCAGAGCTCTTTTCAAAGCAAACTCTATTATTTTTTGTTACTAAAAATCTAACGGAAACTAGGGAGAATGCTAGTGTCATAATGGATGCCATCTCAGAGTTCCACCTTAACCAGGCTAACTTTCCAAAGTCCTCTCATTCTGGGTAATCACCAAGGGCTGCATGAAGCACCTGTAAGGAGTGGTCTGTATTTGGAAAAAGTGACTCCCAATCTGCCAGCTGTGCAGGTCCCCCAGCTACAGACCATCATCCCCAACAAGCAGCCCGTCAGGTAGCCACTGCCGGCCATGATACAGAAGAATACATTTGAAAAAGAAACAGTAGAGAGGGCTGCAGATTTCTCTCCAGCTTCTCCCCTCTCCGGGAGTTAGCAGGAAGGCTTATTAATTTCTCAAAGAACAATGGGGGGCTACTGCCCTACTTTCCCCGGCTGGGCAGGCTCTTCTAACCCTGGGGTGGGCCAGAGTCATTCAGGACGTCACCAGGTGAGGGGCCTGAACTCCGCTGCTTCCCTGTCACCTCGCCAGCACCAGACAAGCCCCACAAAGTTCTGCCTTTCTTAGGTTCTGAAGACACTCTGTGCCTCAGTTCCCATTCTCCAAAACTCCAAGCATAATAATAATAGGAATAGCTACCATTTACTCAATACCTTATGCATAGTAGGAACTGGGCTAGGCACTTAAACACATGTTTAATTGATAAAAAACGCCTCTGAAACACAGATTTGACTGCCTGTTTCACAAATACAGAAATGACGCTGAGGCTTCCTGAGGCCACTCATGGGACAAGGAAGAGTTGATGGTGGAGCCAGGGCTCAGAGCTGGATCTCCTGACTCTGGAGCCTGAGCCTTGTGTATGACCCTGCACCGCCTTCTAGGAGCAGCCTGGCAGACTTGCAATCACAGCTGCCCGGGCCCCACAGTGAGGAGCTGAGCTAGACCCAAGCTCCTTCAGAGCAACTTTCCCCAGCCTCCTGGGGATCTAGTGATGACAAAGAAATCAAGCACAAGATACGGCAAAGCAGCCTTCAGGCACCGGTCAGGGGTAGGGTGGGGAGCAGCCATTAACTAATGACTCGTTCTAGGAAAGTCTGCCAAAGGCCTGGGTCTAGGGCCAACCACTGGGGGAAACACTTCTGAAGTTTCTCTTTTGACAGAGATATCCACAAAAACCAAGTATAATATGACTCAAAAACAATGATGAAGGATTACGCATGAAGGGCCCTGTTAATATTCTCTATACGAGCAAATCTCAATCTTCTGAATTCCTTCCAGTAAGACCTCAGTTGCCTTAGGTTTTTGAATTTAAAGTGTAACAGTGCTTCCGGTCATTCAATCACAGTACAGACTGGCCCAGGATACCCAGACCTCACACAGTTCTAGGGTTCATGGTAGCCACCTGCAAGCTCTACCTGCAACAGAAATGTGAGCATATGAACCTCCTGTCCCTAACGGGCCAAGAGACAGCCGTGGATTAGCCCGAACAGCCAACTTCAATTAAGCTGGGCCGTGCTTCAGTGATTTCATGTTTCCCTCCAAGAGGAAATGGTGGAGCAGATTAGACTGCCTGGCAATGCTGCGTGTTAACAGAGCATGGGAATCCTGTGGCCAATCACCCAGCACTATCGACCTCTTGGGTGAAAGGTATGCTCAGGAGATGGAGCCAAAAAGAAGAGGTAATTCATTAGAAGACTGGTAAAGCTGTCTTCCAGCCCATTTGAAGGATTCTGAGATATTGCCTTGATATCAAATCAAATACTCACTTCTCAGCCTCGAGTTCAGTCCCCTCCCACTATGTGATCCCAATCTCACTCTCCACCCTTATTTCTTTTTAAGATTTTTTTTTTAAGTAATCTCTACATCCAACGTGGGGTTTGAACTTCAAACCCTGAGATTAAGAGTTGCACGCTCCACCGACTGAGCCAGCCAGGTGCCCCCTACCCTTATTCCTTATGCTCCCCTATACGAACTCTACTCTCTATAGAAACCAAACGATCTAAGCTTTCCCAGCTCCACGCCTTCACTCACGCGATTTTCTCCACCAGTGCCCTTTCTTCATTCCCCTAGCTTCAACCTGGTTTTCCCCCAAACACTTGGTTCTTTAATTCCAGGTCAAATTCCGTGTCTCTGAGATCTTTCCTGAAGCCCCTTCCCACCCTCTGTCTCATCTCCTGTCTCCACCCTCCCCACCCCCACTGATGTTTTTCTCCATCGGCCCCGGAAGCACACCGCACTTCTCTTACTTGTAAACTGCCTCATCCTATCCTTGACTATAAGTGAGTAAAACTCTGTTTTGTCTGTTTTGAAAAACAAAGGCAGAGCACACGTTCCTACACACACAGACTCTAGTGTGTAATCTCCCATGGGCCAGGAGCTCTGTCACTCAAACTGATTTCCCTTCAAGTGGTCTAGCGTCTGGTCCAGGCTCATCCAATCTTGGTTTCTGAACCAGTGAAAACTTTGTATTGCACAGGATTCCTCAGTCCCTGACTACACAGAGTCCTCAACCTCATCTTATCTGGAGATAAGAGTGCTGTAGGAATTGCCCCCACCCTGTTCCCACGCTGGGAATGGGATTCACTTTGGTTTATATAACTTTGCAGCTGCAACCTGAATAGATTTGGGTAGGGCATTTAGTCTACAGATTGCTCAAAGGGACGCGTCAGCTGCACTGTTCCCCTCCTCTTTGCGAGCTAAATTCATCTCTTGAAAATGTTCCTGGGAGACAGACCCATTCCCCTTCAAAGGCAGCTCCCTCTCAGCAGGAAGCCTGCAAGGGTAGCACTTTAACGTTCTCTGGGTGTTTACCAATCTTTGAGAAACACATTCTTGTGCCCAGTAAGACATGTCACAGGTCACTGAAAAATATTCGGGTACATATTTCTAACTATTCTATAACAGTGGTTATGAAAGTTAACCTGGGCCTCAGACTCCAAAATGTTTTCTCCTCTCTAATCTCTCTTTGTTTTTCCAACCACCTAACCCTCTGCCTCATCAACCCGGGAATGTGGGACGGGTAGAATGCTTCTGCTGGGAGAGGCGTTTGGTCTTCCAGGGGAATGCAGTAGGAATAATCACGGAGGAGCGGAGACTAGAAAAGCCCGCTCCTGATCCTCTTTCAGCAGCTTCTCCCAGAGCCCAACCCTCTCCCCTGCTCCTAGCTGACCCTGGGCCTTCCCTCTTCCTCCTGAAGACTCATACGAAGTTTTCTAGCTCTTCTTAAGCATCTTCAGGGTGAGCATGACTGCCTGCATGGTGGCTAATGGGATCCAAATATTTCCAAACAGCATGTCATTTCTAGGAACTGCCTCTCCCTCAGACCCGCTCTGCTTGGGGCCGCCACCCTCCAGTTTAACCATGAATGGACCTATCCTTTGCCATCTGGGCAATAAGATCCCCTGCCTGGCAACTTGGGGCTTGCCTCGTCACGGCTGTCAGAAACACTCTGGTCACAGTGCAAAGGAACCAGGGCAACCCTGGCCCACACGTCCTGGTCCCGGGAGTCGGCACACAGGGGAGCTGTGGTGGGCTGTGGCCAGCCCAGCTCCCTCTGACATCACGTGGCCTTACCTCATCCCACTCTGAGGCAAAGGAGGGCGACTTCTCCAGCCTCTTCTTCCCGATGCTGCAGTTGGACAAGGACTCGCTCCGGCTCCCCATTGTAGTGTCCTCCGTGGGTGAGCAGGTCAGGAGATCAGAGTCAGACTTGGACAAGCTGCGGCTGAGTTTGAGTTCAGCTTTGGGTTTGCTGGTGGGAGGGGCTCGGCTCCTAGCCCCACTCCGGTCTCTTTCTTCCTCGGCACCACCAGGGTGTTGAGATGCTGTGTGAGTCAAAGTTTCGGGGTGCGATTGGCTGTTGGTGGTGGGCAGGCCAGCCGGGTAACCCGCTCTCTTACTCTGGTCCAGGACACTGGGCGGAGAGGCTCCAGGAGCACGCACAGCCGTCTCCTCCAGCTGCATGCTGGCCTCGTGACAGGCGCCCTGTGCAGAGGACCCTTCTGGAAGGTTCTGGCCAGTGGCAGAGAGCAGCTGGAAAGGGTCCTGCCCCACCTCACACACCGGGGAGGAGCCGTGGAGGAGACCGGAGAACTGCTCTGGGACCTGCCCGTCCTGCCCCTCCGCAGAGTCCTGGCTCCGGCTGCTGCTGCCCCGCCTGTGGTCTTGGAGTGGACGGAGAGACAGAGAAATAAAAAATTAAACGTGGCAAAAATCAACAGAGTTCCAACGCAGCGAGTGAACGGCAGGGCTGAGGAATTCAACAACAGGGAAAGAGAGAGAAGCTGGATGGGTTGGAGAGAGGGCAGAGGGAGAGAAGAAGAGAGTGGAAGGAAGAAAACAGTTTCGTATTGTTCTTAATGTTCAATTTGTACCCAAAGTCAGAGCATTTATGAAATTCCAAACACTGGCCTGATTAATGCTCTCTGGCAGCCTTCCCTGTTGTTAGGTTTCTGTTAACGTTAACGACCAGACCTTGCTATATAAGGCGAGAAGTGCTAACTAGATCCTACAGAAAGGACACGAGTAAGGAGACAGAGAGCAAACACGGAGTAAAAGTGAGAAAGAGAGAGAGAGCGCCAGTGAGCAGGCGAGACTTACTCCTGGAACATCTGATACATTTCCATAAAGGCCAAAGTGTTATTTAGAGCCACCCGCCCTCCCTTCCTCTGGCAAGCAGCAACAGAGGGGAAAAAAAATGGAGGTCATGATCCACAACCTGCAACTTCTGGAATTCTTTAACTGAACGTGCAAAACAAAACAGCAGAGAAATAACCGCTTCCTTCCTCACAGGGGGGCTGTTCAGGGTTCCACACCTCATCCTTCCTTCCTCAGGGAGCCCAGACGTTATTTATTTATTTTTTTTTGAGAATGTGTACATCTCACTCCTTCCAAAGCCTCCCAGCTGCTCCTATTTGTTTAAGTTTAACCTCAGCTGATCCACTGAAAACAAAATGGTCTAATTTGTCAATGCCAAGAGACATTTGCAGTTCTCTCAAGACCTCCTCAACAGCCCCGAAATCTGACACTACTAGCTCATGAGGCCAACCACTACTGTATACTCACCCAAGATATCAAATACTTCTGCCCTGAAGTGGCATAAATAATTGACCAAATCAGATTCCAACATCAGAATCACACTGGGACACCAGGGGGCTCGCCCTGTGTGAACTCAGACCCATTAGAGATTTTCATCCACATCAGCAGGGTAGATTAACCACCCTGCACCCAGTACTAGCTCACATTCCTAAACTAATATTCAATGTTATTTTCTCTATAAGTGGAATCAACGGTATAGATACCAAATGATTCCCTAGTCTGCCCAAAGCTCCCAAGTATTGTTCATGAGTTCAGAAAATCTTAGAAGCCAAAGGATCAAGTTCAATTATTGTTACAGATGAGGAATCTAAGGTCCTCGGGCCTTTAGTGGTTTGTCCAAGGTGGTGGGGGAGAAGACTTTAACCCAGGCTTTTCGGAACACCTGTCTCTGGTCCCGGCTGTGCTGCTCTCTAGCTGTGTGGCCTTGGTACTGATCTCATCCTGCTGGGCTTCAGTATCTAAAATAAGTAGGATGAACTGCACATAGGCTTTAAAAATCCCTTTTATGTTACAATGGTGATAAGAATCCAAGTCTCTACCATACCGTGATGGCAAACTTCTCCCCCTCAGGGGCTGCTGCAGATCCCTGCCTAGCTGCTTCTCCTGCTACTGCCTACATAGCACCCACTCTCCCTGACCAGCATGCCTGCAGCCCAAGGCTCCTGGAAGCTCAGTTCCACAACTGAATAGGGTCATCAGGTGAGGAGGGGTGCACTTTATAAACATGATGCACTACAACAGTCTTCACTGCTCCATGCACAATGGCAAAGTCCTACAATGCTGGCTCTTCCAAGACAGCCTTTAAGGAAGGATCCCAACAACCAATTCTCATATTGCACCCATCACCCTGAGGTCTGAGCAGGGACATGGTTCCATTCACCCCACTTTCTCAAGAAGAATGGCTCAGTCTCCACAGTCTCTTCAGCTTTTGGCAAGCCTGCTGAGGCTGCAAGGGGGCAGCCAATTAGCTCCACTTTATGGCTCTGATTACTTATCCACAGGAGTCCAGAAGTATGAACTTTGGCATCTCCTTCCTCTACACTTGACTGCTTCAGGATTTTCACACCCCTAACTCACAAACTCTATACCCCAAAGGTCAGGTCCAGAGTGCTAAAAAGCACTGAACAACTGGAATCATTTCTCTAGGGAAGAAGAAATGCTGCGTACATAAGAGTTCCATCCAGCTTAACTCAGCCCCAGGAAGCCATGACTTCAGGACTATGAATTCCGCATATGACAACTGGCCACCCAAACAAAGCTGCCCTGTAGCGTCGCATGGTGGGGCCAGAGAAGATGACACATGACCATCACTTGTGGTTCAGACCAATGGCACTTCTTAGGAGAGGCTGACCAGGAGAGTCAAAATTGCTACCTCTCGGACCATACCCACATGGCCAATTTCCTACAGATTCTGGCCCAAGGTGCAACATTCCTCTGACTGCATTTGAATACAAAAAGAGGACTTTGGTAACAGGAACACGGGCTTCTATTCCTTTGTGTCAGCATCTGGCTCCTTATTTCACAATATTTTGGGGAGGGAGGGGAGTCCAACAACAAAAGAGAAACACCGGAGTCCAGAACTGGGAGTTAGCCTGGCTTACACTGCCTGGGTGGACCTCGGAACCCAGGCCACAGAGAATGTTCTGACTGCTGCTGTGGGAGCTGACAATGAAGGTCCTGTCTAACAGCCACCCATTCATGCTAGCCATCAATGAAGAAAGAGAGACAGATGCCAAGAGCTCAATACCAGACAGATGCCGGGGGAAGGAAGTGGGCAGAAAGAAAGAATGGAAACTTATGGAAGGAGGAAATATGTGAAGAGGAAAAATTTCTGAGGGCCATAATCCCATGAGGGAAAACACAATCTACCAATACTTTATGGAGTAAAAGAAATCATGGAAAGGAATTCTTATGATTACATGACTTACCCAGGCAATTCCCTAGGAAAGACACCTTGGAATTTGAAAAGCTTGTCAAGATTGAAGATCCTCCCTCAGGATCTTAATAAGCTAGAGTTCTCTTCCCCATAAAAAACCATATCCAAGACTAAGCTCGATATCCTGGCAAATCAACAGGTAGGAAAAGAACTACTGAGTGGTCCCGTCCTTCTGTAAAGTCAGGATAATATTAGGCCTCTCAGGGACAAGGTGGTAACAATATAACGTACTGATCATGAGCCAGATCTTTTTTTTTTTTTTTTAAAGATTTATTTATTCATTTGAGAGAGCGAGAATGAGAGAGAGTACATGAGAGGGGGGAGGGTCAGAGGGAGAAGCAGGCTCCTCGCTGAGCAGGGAGCCCGATGCGGGACTCGATTCCGGGACTCCGGGATCATGACCTGAGCCGAAGGCAGTCGCTTAACCAACTGAGCCACCCAGGCGCCCTCATGAGCCAGATCTTGAGCAAATTACTTAACTGCTCTGTGCCCAGAATTCTTGTCTATAATTTTGGGATCATGATAGTACTGACTTCATAGGATTGCTGTAAGAATTAAATTGTAGTATCAAGCACTTAGAACCACACCTGGCACATGCCAGCTCTCAGGAGATGTTAACAATTACTATTATTCTCCACAAAGGATCCATTACAACGTACTTCACTCACAGAAGAGCCCAACAACTAAGTCTGCTGCTCACAAGTTTGTCAAAAAGATCACCAAAGACAGTGTATGAAGATCCATTGCCTTCATTATCCTTACAACCCTCGACAGCAGAACGAAGGGACAGAAGGTAATACGGTGAGAAGGCTGAAGTGAGAAATGGGCCCCACAACTGTGGCTGTAAGTACCCATTCCATCAATAAGCATGTGAAAATGTCTGCCTTCACGGGGCACCCCAGAGATGAAGACACGGAGTTTCTCAATGGGCTTACCAGCTATCAGAAGAAACTAGCATATACAGAAATGACTAGAATTCAAGGCCAAAATTAGTAGATGCTTTTAAAAAAGGATAAACCAGGGGCACCTGGGTGGCTCAGTCGTTAAGCGTCTGCCTTCGGCTCAGGTCATGATCCCAGGGTCCTGGGATCGAGCCCCACATCGGGCTCCCTGCTCAGCGGGAAGCCTGCTTCTCCCTCTCCCACTCCCCCTGCTTGTGTTCCCTCTCTTGCTGTGTCTCTCTCTGCCAAATAAATAAATAAAATCTTAAAAAAAAAAAGTATAAACCAAATGCACAGTGAGCAGGAAGGAAAGTGTGATTACTTCGAACCAGAAGGATTCTCAGAAGAGGCGGCTTTTGAGCTGGGCACTGAAGAAGTAAGGCCTTGACAGGCTTAAAGGTCAGTGGAAACACATTAGAAAAAGCAGAGCCACAAACCTCGTGCCTGGGCACTCATGGACTCTCGGACTCGCAGAAGAGAACCGTCAGGCCTGAGGCTTTCCCTCTGACTGGGAATCACTGCGCTCCCACCTTAGAACTACACAGCTTCCTCCTCCCGCACTGTCCTCTGCAGTCCCCACAACCTGCCCTCGTAGGAGAGAAACAAGGGGCCAGGACACAGGGACAGCTGTTCCCTTACTCTCCCCGTAGATCAAGGCCAGCTGCTCGACCAAGTAGCACACAGCAGCATGCTAATTCCCAGCCCCTTGGACTTTCAATCTTTATTCACTCTGGGTGTTGCTCATTTTCCTTTTACCCTGTGAGCTGCTGAAGCAAGGGGTCTTCTGTGCTGCATTTTAATGATGATGATGATGATCCACGGGGATCTCAAGGGCTTGTAAATAATAACATTTTAACATTTACACATTTTCAGTAACCCCCTTGTCTGTTTAGATTAGAGCTAAAAATTGCGGCTTATGTGAGAACTTGCTAAGTCAAATCAACCCTCCAACCCACAGGTTACTCGTTACCCAGACTGTTCTGCTTGCTTTGTTCCGTTAGGACTGGAACCCTCCAACTGCCCAGTCACTGCAGTGAGCACCAGAAACCGGGTGTGTCCAGGAGAACTCCTACGTACATGGCCACTTGTGGAGAGTCACCATGTTCTCCTCAGAAGGAAGGTGCTGACTAGGTTATGCAGACACTTGCTGGTGACTGTGATCTGATAAGACAAGTAGACCAAGAGTCCA